ATAGAGAAAAAGCCAGAAATCGTTTAATGTACTGTTATTATTACGGTATTGGTACTGATAAAGATGAAAGTAAAGTTTGTCAACTTTATATTTCAAAACTATTAAGTAATTAGGGTCTAGGGGAACAAAGTTTAGAAGCTTTTGTAATTGAAAATTAATTAAAAATATTGAATTTTTTTTGGTATAAACTTTTTATATTAATGAATGTAAAAAATTTTTTTGCAAATATACTGTAAAGAGTTTAATATTAATAAAGGTACAGTAATTTAATAAATAAAATTGACAAATAAATGGCTTAAAAACTAGTACTAGTAGTTTTAAGACTATGTTGAGACATGTTTCAATTTATTTTATTAATTTGTTAAAATTATTTAGACTTTAATAAACGAGTTGTTTTGCAGATCACAGGAATTTCCTAAACGAGGCACAATAACAACCAGACACACATTTAAACTTTGAATTTATCAAAATAGCCCCTGACGAATGAAAACTTCAAAAATCGATTAAATTTAAAAGTATTTTAATCAAAAAAATTATTGATGAGTCTGATAAACTACTATTAATATTTAATAAAGCAATTGAAGATTACGAAGAAGAAAATTATATAGCTTCATATCGTTCATTTTTCTATGTTGTCAGCAATTCTAACTCAACTCTATCAAATGATGCAAAATTTTGGTTAATAAAGCATCTAGAATTTGGTTATGATACTAGTAAAAATGAAAAGAAAGTCTCGAATACTATTCACAAGTTTATAATGATAGTAAATCAATTTATAGAAAAAAAGCCAGAAATCGTTTAATGTACTGTTATTATTATGGTATTAGTACTGATAAAGATGAAAGTAAAGTTCGTCAACTTGATATTTCAAAACTATTAAGTAATTAGGGTCTAGGGGAATAAAGGTTTAGCAGCTTTTATAATCGAAAATTAGGGTTTGCACAGTAAACTTTTTACATTAATGAATGTAAAATTTTTTTTTGCAATTATACTATAAAGGGTTTAATATTAATAAAGGTATGTAATTTTAATAAATAAAATTGACTAAATAAATGGCATTTATTACAATTTATTTTTATTAATTTGTTAAAAATTATTTTACTTAGTAGATTTAATATACGAGTTTCACAGGAATTTCCTAAATGAGACACAATAACAACCAGACACACATTTGAACTTTGAAGATCTCACTAAATTAACACCTTATCATCAGCTCCACAGCTTACCCAGCTAGAGTTAGTACTTCAATCCGGATATAAATATATCCGGATTGATATTTTGCTTAAAATTTATAGTAAAACATAGTAATATTATCCGGATATAATCCGGATATAAAATAAATCCGGATATAAAAACATAGT